TCGTGGACACAGGGCTCATTGAGCAAGGAAGTTGCTAAACTCCAACAAATTAAGTTGCAGTGTCTAACGGACACGCGAGCCTCGTTGAGACAATAATCGATTGGAACTGTAAATGTTCTCAAGCTTAATGGAAGTGTGTAACGGGGATACACGAACCCTAGAAACAGGTGTGTGTGTCAAACGAGATGTGCATGGTGTGACCACACATCCAAGCAAGTACGGTACGGGGCTTGGTAGCCAGTAGTTATGGATGCATCTAGATTCTACTATTTATATTCAGTTTATTTAGGAAAATCTAAACTTTTAAAATAGGATAAAAACTCGATAAAAATCACATGAATCTAAACCGAAGAGTCAATTAGCCTTGGAAAGGCGAGTAAGCGGATTGCGATCCGCTTACTCATACTTGGTTCTTGTAAAGAACGAAAGGTCGGTGACCTAAAGTACGCTTCCTTCAGCGTTTTGCTGCGGCAGCCCCGCTGCGATAATTTTGAGGCGTTAGGCCTAGCTAGGATGCTGCCCTTCACCTCCTCTCTTCTTCTGAACGATGCGAGGACATGCAGACATGTCTCCAGTCTATAATGAGTCCAACTCGTGGCAACGATAGACGAGAACTGCAATGCACAAAGTCTACAACTTTGGGATAAGTCTGCACTACAGCTTGCGAACTTAGGGAAATAGTTACTGTACTTAACTGCTCTCTCACTAGTTATACTTACTTCGTGTAAAATGGTACAGGTGATGGTATCGTTGCTGCTCTTATTAGTGACGGTGCATCATGTAAGCACTCATCTGATGCCTGCAACGGATGACCAATATGACGTGTTAAGTCGTATCGACGTGGACGACTCCGTAGTCGCGGTAGTCCGTCGCAATAAGATTCTTCACCTTCTATACGACGAGACCATCATCGGGGCCGAATTTGACGATCCGATGCTGCGCAAACAGACTACGTATCCAGGCTTTACAATTATGCAGTGCTCTGCGTATCTAGACCGTAAACCATCGAGGGCATTGCAGATTGGTCTCGGCATTGGCTCCGTCCCGAGCTTTCTACGAGACATGGACATCCCAACAGGTATTTTTACGGCTTTACTTCTATGAAGGAATATGTGACTATACTCAAACTATTGTTTTCACGATAGATGTGGTTGAAATCAGTGAAGCTGTAGTGATACAAGCGGCAGACTATTTCCAATATGAATGGTGTGTTTTATCCGATGACGAAGAGGACGAGAAATGTCCAAATGGCCAAACTTTCGTTATGGATGGTCTTGAATTTTTAAATCGCAAACCAAAAGATCTTGAAATTCAAACGCAGGAGGATACCAATCCATATGATCTATTTATTGTGGACGTGTATACGGGTTGGAATCCCTTTGCATTTCTCGTTCGTGAGAAGATTTTGTTGATCCGTAAAAACTGGTTAACTATCGACGGAGTCTTGGTCATGAACTTTGTAGGATTTATGCACGGCCCACGTGCAGCAGCCCCGAAATCTATTTACCGTACGTTGCAAAGCGCGTTCAAGCACGTCAAATGTTTTCGAGAAATGGAAGACCCCAACGATCCGGAGGCGGGCAACATTGTTTTCTATGCTTCTGACAAGCACATCGACTTTGCTCTACCATCCACAGGCATATACAAGGACCCTCCACCCAATACGTTTTACAGTGTAACGTATCTAGTCACATTCTTCTAAGAAGCATAACATTTATTTTGTATACCATGATCTACAGGTGGTCACAAATTTTCCAAACTGGCAGGTAATCTTTCCGCAGGTCGTCATTTATTTTTCACTCATGCTTCGATGTTGTAGATTTTTACTGATTTAGATTCCGAAGTAGAAGTAGCAATTCACCAGGAAGTGGACGATGACAAAGTGCGTTTTGTGCCGAACAATGACAGCTACAAGACTGACGAGGGACCTGCTTTGCGCGTGCTTACGGAAGCGAGTCATGGCCAAAAAGATTTTCATGACATTCACGTCGAAACGCAGAATCACATGCGAGAGCGAGTGTTAAGCCAATTTCCTCTCGCTCTTTGGAACGAATTAAAGCGTAAATCAACCACTTGAGTGTCACACATTTTGCATGCATAAACAGTGTTGTATATCATTGTCGCTGCCTCTTTCAAGCAATGACATCAGAAATCTCATTTTGCTCTGTATCCACTCGTGAATTTGAGACTCGAGCTTGCGATCGTCTTATTGTGGTTCCATCACGATAAGTTTCAAGGAACGTGCTCAATATGTTCATCAAAGACGTGCATTTTCGATGCTCCGCTTTTCCATTTTCAGGCGCCTTTGCAGCTCTTGGCCTTATGCATGAGTTCAGTACTTTTAGCTGCATGAGTCGATTGGTACTCGACACCAGAATCGGTAAAGACTTGCTCTTGATCTTACAACGTCTTGAGGCAGCACAACCAGATGTGCGTATTGCCATCTTTTCATGTTTAAGCAGTCCTTAGCCCATCCTAAAGGCCCAAATTTTCTTCATTAGCAGAATTACAGTCCCTACTCGACTCATTTTTCAATTTGAAGTGGCACAAACACGGCCGGCGAGAGCTCACACAGAGAAAACGCATGCCGCGACGACAGTCTTGCAGTCGGGAAAGCGACAAATTTAATGCAAAATTGCGCGTCAGCCTGACAGCAACTTTGCCTCGCATCTTAAGATTCTGCGAATTCGCTTGCGGATATAGCATCGGAACCTCTCGTAGAAATAAAGCTTAGAAATCCATCACATTCTTCGAGTTATCACGTTTCATTGCGTCTACTTTTGCTGCCTCAGCAACAGTTACCTTTTCAATCAAATATGATTCGTCTTTATCTCCTTGCTTTGATCGACAACCCCAATCGTATTCAGTGCAAGAAGATGTCACTTCAAGTGTCAACAACTATTGACGATTTACAAGAATTTTCAGCGCGCATTAACGACCAAATTCGAAAAGCCGACACATGAAAGAAGAGATCACGTGATGAAAAGTGATATCGCTTTTGATTATCAAAGGGGGTTGCCGCGGGTGCCTCGGGGACATAAGGGTGGGATGTATCAATATGCACGAATGCAATACGATCAACATTCAAGTATTACTTGGTGCGATACATTCCATATTGACTTCTAACTGATGATGAAGCGCTACAAATCTCACAATTATTATCTCTATTTCAGATACGAAACAAAGTTTGCAAACTGCTTGACGGTTCGAGGTGTATCTTGGTGATTGAATTGTAGTACAGGGATATGTCCTGAAAATTTCCTACAGTTAACTCAACGCATTAGAAGCAGTGGTTGGTCACTGTCTGAGGCATATAAGCTAGCTGATTTGCATTTTAACCAGCTATCACCCACATTGTGTTTGCCACCGTGAGATATTAATCAAACTTTCAGCTAAAGTATCTAGTTCGCGTTTCTTATCAGACAACACCCTCCAAAACACAATAGTCCCACAGTGCTCCAGCCAATCCAAAGCATATTTCTTGAAGGGTACACAGAGTGACTATGCCAGAGAGTTTTCATCGAACAAAATGGAACTTTGTTCGATAAATCAGCTGCGTTCCCAGACCTGGTGCATCGACAGAATCGTCTTTTTCGATACCATTCTTAATTATGAATGAAAATCGTTGATCTGATGTCAGAGTAGACGGACACCCACGCAATGCAACGATCAAGATAAGAACTGTTGCTAGCGAACATCAGCAAAAGTTGAGAGTCGATAATAATGTCTTTCAACACACCACACCCAAGTTATCAGACCGATATACTTAATGCTGTGAATACATGGGAGCACTGTTGCCAGTTCTTTTTTTATTTGAATGACATGGAAATACATGTAAAGTAGAATTAAAGCTTCATGAATACAACCTCGTCCCAGTGTGCTTGCAAAAATTATTAACATCGCATGTAGGGAAGCCCAGGAATATACATTGGGTCAAGCAAACCAACAAGACACTTTACCGGGACTGTTAATAAGTGAACTGCACTGGAACACCTCGAACCTCGGAGTAGAATTTCCCTCTTTGTCGAGAAACAGCCACTGTCTCCACATGACATGGTAAGACGAAAACCGCCTTACCGAACGAAGATCAATGTTAAGCCCTTGACGGCTTGTTCGCGGCAAAAACAGCCTTAAATTGCATTCATCACCAACTTGGTCAACCGTTTACTTTTAGAAAAATATGGACCAATGCTGTGATCAAAGTAAGAGTTTTAGAAGACAATTGGAGTCAGCGTCCATTGCTGCGAAACCACCAGCAGGTGAACCCTTTCGAGCCTCTACTTTATCACTCACTTTGCTAAATTGACCGCTTTTCAATTCAACTACATGTAATTTGTGGAGGTGTGCTGCCAAATACTTTTCTCACACCTTGCAGCTCGTCAGATTGCCTATGCCACGCGTCATCCGCCGTCAGCATCACACTTGGTAGTTTCAAACTTTCATCTTTTTGATTGCATCCATCTATTCCCTCACTGTCTCTCTTCCTTTAATGTTCAGCGAATGCGCTTACACCACAGTTTGATTTGTTTTCTCGAAAAGCCCGAATGTACCATTAGTAAAGTATGATACCATATTCGCTTTCAAGGACTTTGTGTTGCTGGGTATTCATCGGTATACTCTGTTACCTCAGATAAATCGACAGCAATAAGAGCCTTTGAGTCTGGTCTTATAATGAGTTTTTCACTCTCGTGGTATGAGCTTGACCGCAGCTTTTGTATCCCTTCCTTGCAAGCTATTCATCATAATTAAAATGGCTCGTAGGTTGCAGCAAGACCTGTCGTTGTTGCAATAAGGGATCCTTGATGAAGTACCGAAAAATACTGTTATCACAGATCATCACTCTCTCAGCCACAAAATGAAGCTTTTATTTTAAGAACTCACAAAGCAACTATTTTTCTTAAAAATATTACACAGCAATCCACAATTACTATTGACACAGCTCCAAATTAAATAGCTATTGAAGTGTAGACGTGCATTTAATCAGTGCACTTGACCCAGCGTCCGTATCCAACGCTTTCCCAGTGAGAATTGTGCTCCTCTGCATATGCTTGCACTGACATGTTTTCGAACTGATGAATCAAGCTCGCATAATTGTGATCTCTAGCAAAGACAGAGAGCTTCGTTGTGGATTCACGCATTTCTTTGATCTCAACGTCTTCTTTGACAACGTTCGATTCAACAACATCTTTCTCTTGAATCGTTGAGCAATCCGTCGACACTGTATGTGCTTCAGATGCGAGATCTTCACTCTTTGCTCTGTGCTTACCCGATAGAAAAGGGTTACACTTGTTGAGCAATTTGTCGGCACTCGCTTTTGAAAAGTCGTGGGTCGAATGATCGTCGAGAGCGAATGTTGGAGCTGTCTCCCGATTTGCGAGGGCCACCACCTGACACCTCGGAGATGCTGGTAAAGCGTATAGTGCTGCGGTGTCTTGCTTCACCAGTTTGCACATGTCGTCGAATGCAATGTGCTGCTGCTTCTTCGATCCGAATTTGGAAGCATCCTTGAACTCTTCTCGTCGAGAATTCTTGGCCATAGCCATGTCGCTATCTACTCCTTGGCAGAGCAAAGGCTTTGTCGTGTACTTGACCACAGCTTTCCACACCTTGAGTGCAGTGTGTGTCATTTTAGTGAGCAATTTCATACGAAAGAATGAACGGTTGACCTTCATGCTGACTTCAAGCAGATTGACCCCGGCGTGTTCACATTAATTGGGTGGGTGATTGGTGGCAATAAAAATAATGGCCATATCCAAGCAAGGCCATCAAAAGTGGATCGGCAGAAGATATTACAAATAAACCTACATGTGACACGCATTGGAACGGCCATGTTGAGGTCAAGTTTGTAAGGATCGTAAGGTGTCACCCATACATGCTGGATGCCTTTAGGATCTGTCGACCCGATTGCAGATTTGCAAGACTCAATTAAATATATTTTTAAAGGCAGACAATGGGCAAAGCGAGCTTGAGCGATTGCATGGAGGGTTTGAATGTATTTACCAGCTCACGAGTCGTGATAATTTTACTAGATTGCCTTCTATGAGAGTGCATCACTACAAAGAATAGGCCTTGACTAGAAATTTAAGCCAACGCATGCAGACCACGAGACAATTGTCAGATCATCACCTTTTATATGACAGAACTGATTTAATGGTTGTGGTGCATTTTTAAGTTTTCTCGATAAAATTTGACATGATCGTTACTCTTTGCGAAATAATGCGATCTTAAATGGTAAACTGCGCCTTCCACAATAGTGCGACCTGTTGCCGTCGTGACGCTGTTGAGGCGTTTAGAAAAGCCTCGGTAAGCTAAAGCAGTGTCAGAAGCACGCGGAAGTGTCGTTTGCCCGCAGCTTACGACAAAAAGATTGGCAAAGCCACGTAAGGATTGTGGAGTTGCAGTCTGTCCTAGCAAAGAAAGTGCATTTACTTGGGTATAATAAAACAAAGTGGAAATGACGTAGGTCATGTAAAACATGGGCAGCATCGCGTGTCATTGTCGTAGTGTCAGCGATTTGAAACCTGCCCAGGTTTGTAAAACTTGAAGGCGGCAAGCGTTGCGCGACACTGACGACAGCACGATACTCAAAATTATAATTGGGCTTGTGCATCTGATGTGTTGCTTCGACATTTAATGACGTCAGATTTGGTATTAAATGGGCACTATCGATATGTGCATGGCATAATAGAAGGCCTTTTTGATGGGGCTGAATCGGTCAACACTCTGTGTGGTGAATTGCCACGGCAACTCTGTATAGTGGACAGACATGTGCAAACACTTCTTAAGCGGTGACAAGCAACACGAAGGATTACAATTAAATATATGTGCTTGCTTGTTTGTCAGATACTTTGCTGTGCCATGATTCATGGTAGACGTGATCTGTTGAGAAAGCCCCGATTCAGACGTGTAATATATTTTCTAAGGCGCGATGCAGCCTATCGTACCTTGGCCGTAATTGCTCTTACACCGCATTAATATCGATTGATTATATTCTTGTCCACAAACGTCGCTTATCGCTCAAACATTTTATACGCTCACACACGCCACACGCCGGTGAAGTTTCAGACACACAATCTTTGACAGCACGTAAACTTCGCACGTTTGACAAATTATTATTTTTCCCAAATTATCCTTTCTAAACGATCAGTGGCCCCATTCTAAGGTCAAGTCTTAATCCTACTTTTACACGATTCAAGACTTTGAAGGGTCTACCTCGTAATTGGAGGTATGCTGGGCTAAAGGAACTAAATAGCCACAATATCGTTAGAAGAGGGACATATAAGGCAAAGTTAGTAAACTGGCGGAGAGGCAAAACTTTTAGCTTCGAGCTGCTAAATCTTTTCTCAGTTTGATGGAGCCCAAATTCTGTAGATCCAAAAATGGATTAAAGAAGTCCGAGAATTGGACCGAATAATAATTTCCATAGAAATGGATTGGTGTTATGTAAGGGTGGGATGCCGCGCTACGTCTCCACTGTGTCACTCCGACGGTGATTTGCTGGTAAGTCAAAGGCTGACTAAATGGCTCAGATTCTTGGACAGTAGACCTTAATCATAGCGCTTGTTGTGATGCGTAATTACATCTTGAGTTAAACCTGAACATCACCATCAATGAGGTTGCTTTTAGAATTGAGGATTTACTCCTGGAGATTGTTGAAGCCAATTTGCCATTCGAGTGTCTTTGAGGTCACGGGTTAATTCGACATAGTACGAATCGTAAAGATAAGACCACCTCGCCGACAGCTGCCGCGATAACATTAATCGGAAAGCGGACTATTACCACGCTGTCACCAGTGGTAATAACACAGAAGTCGCAAAGTAGACTGCGACCACGCTGTCAATAGCTACAATTATACATTGATTGCAAAGCAGACAATCACCACAATGTCAAGAGCTGCGATAACACATCAGTCGCCAAACAGAAATCAAGAAGCATATAAGTAAATATCTCAGAAGGCATGACAATCGTCTGTGTTGCCAAGCAGGACTCACAAATCAAAGCTGTTTGGTCGACAGGCTGTGCGCAACATACATCGTTGCGTATATGGAAAAAATCTCGTGAAAGAGGTTTGACTAACAAGCTTTGTTGGAAAACGGATCCGGATACGATTATCTGGATGGCCGTTGGCAGCTGAAATGGCCGTTGACGGTTGAAATGGCCGTTGGCGGTTGAAATGGACGTTGGCGGTTGAAATGGACGTTGGCGGTTTGATTTGGCCTTAGGAGTCGCGGGATTTTTTCTGGGCGTCTAGGGGGTCTCGGTAGGTGTATATTCTAGGAGATAGGTGCAGGGAGAATGCCTTGGTTCTAATAGATCAGTTTCTCTTTTAACATCCAAATTTCAACAGGGTTATGAGCCCAAGCGAGTCGCGCTAGGAAAATAACGATACAGCGCCAAGGAACAATGGATAAACAACGCGATGACATGCTGGTGCTCTTGGACAAGGCCAATGACCAGTGGTCCAGCAGCTTTGTTTCCAGTTTGCGATGGCGAAGAGATCGATTGGCGTCAGCGCAAGTGGCTTCTGCGGACGACGTTCAAGGAGTATGGGACCCTCGACATCGCGGGGGGCAGGCTTAAGAGAGACCAACTCAGCACTGCGGAAGGGAAGGTAGCTTTTGATCGCCAGTGCAAGATCCAGCGTATGATCGCGTCGGCGATACCGTCACACCGCCTGCAGCAGG